CTTGGCTGTCTCCACCAAGACCAAGAACAACCCCTCCCGGCACCAGAGCTTCGGGGCAGCTGGGTCGAGCCGGGAGCCCCTGGGCCCTGACCCGAAGCCGGCGTCCGTCCCCAGCCTCTTGCTGGAGGCGGAGGTGGAGGATGACGGTGGGGGGACCCTCAAGCGCAACCTGAGGAACATGTCCTACCGCGTGGCCATGAAGGGCTTGGGCGCGGAGCTGGAGCCGGCGAGCACCGTCCCCTTGCTGAAACCCTTGTCGGAGGAGGGCAGCGCCCTGCCTGCCCACAGCCTCGGCAGGAACAAGGTGGGTTTTGCACCCACCGTCACCCGATTGCTCTCGGGCGGGGATTGAGCCCCCACTTTCCCTGGTGATGAGCCGCTGCTGGGGAATCTGCAGAGCCTTTTTCCTGCAACTCCTGTCAGTCACAGAGCTGTGTGAGCCCAGCGTGGAGCTGGCAGGGCTTGCTGAGCCTGGTGACGTGACTGGTGCCTTGGGAAGCCTGCATGTCACCAGCAGATGCTGTAGGTCCCTGGAGAGCCCGGAAATAGCTGACATGGCTTTCGCGGGGAGTGTCGCTGGCTGCTCCGGGGCTCCCGCTCGTCGACAGGCGGCTGTGGGCATATTTGCAGGGTGGGGTTGGCCGGGCGTGTGGCTGTGAGGTGGCGGTTGGTTGTACACAAACATGGGTGAAGCAGGTCTGGGGAAAAGGAGACTCCAGTGCAGGCAAAGTCCAGGTGTGAGACAGATAGATGTGAAAGGCAGCGGCGTAACTACAAAATGGTTTAGATCATGACCCCGATAACGCAAGGTGAAAGCTGAGTCACTTTGGTAAGGCAAACAAAAGCTCAGACAAAAATCAGGCTGAAAGAACAGGGTGGTATTTGCTGACTGGTCACACAGGTAACTTCTCCCCTTTCCTGAAGGAGCTAGATGCTTCCCAGGGCCACAGATATACAGTAACTGCAGCACGTTCTCCTCTTCTTCCTCTTGCAGAGAACCTTTGGGCGGAAGCGGGTGCAGAAACGTGGTGGCTCGTTCAAGGACCGTGAGTGCTGCCTCCCGTCTTCCCGAGAGTGCCGGCTGCGGCGTCCCCTCTGCCTTGCAGGGCACCGGGGCGCTTCTCAGCAAAGCGAATCCCTAGAAGTTTCTTTGCCACGTGTGCTGCTGCCTGTCCCTGGCCTGGGGCAATTGCTTTTGCCTTCGTTTCCCCACCTGCAAGAGGAGCGCTGCAGCCCTGCTTTCCCGCTCCCCGGGGCGTGGTGACGCTCAGGCTGTGCCGTGCTCGCAGCTGGAGCGCTCCCAGCTCTGCTTGCTCGGGGCAAACACGGGAGAGCTGCGCGCAGCGCGCTGGCTGCTGGGGCTGTCGGGAGCAGGAGCTGCTGGTTAATTGGTGCTGTGCAAAGTGGAGAGGTGCTGGTCCTGGCTCGCCGGCGCTCGTGGCAGGGCTCTTGGCCAACGGG